GTTTTGTTTAATAGTAGTTATCTTATTTATTACTAAACTTCCATACCGATGCAAACTAGAATACAGCCATACAGCCTGACTTTGGTTTGAGCAAGATGTGGCAATATGAGCTGGTTAGAACTTTAAGTAGCTTGGTAAAAAGGTAATTCTGTGCGTTTTTTTCAAACTAGCTTAATTAAAACCGAAGCCAAAACAAAACCTCAAACCCACAAATTTACTTCTGAAAACAGCTAATCACCAACCAACCTTTAAAAAGAAATCATTTTATATGTTAGAATACCTGCTGGCTTTTCCCTTGAGACTTCAAAGTCCACATTTAAAGATATCTAAAATAAATAGCACATACCACATGTAAACATATACTTAAAATTCTATAAAACATTAAAATTGATGATTCATTGTTTTCTTTGGTGACAAGTAACTCAGCTGACTCTTTTGGGTTTAAACTGCTAATTCATACAAGGTATGTGACTGATACTTCACCAAAGTAAATGCTTTTCCCTGTCTCTTTTCACTTCATGCTTCTAAATTATGCATTTAGAGATTTGTTCCTGTCAGAGAACTTAGGGTTTTTGCAGAAACCCCCTGCAGATCTGTGTAATGACACCAAAAGCCCACAATTAATGATGCTCTCACATCCCCTTGACAGTGTCGCAGATAACTGAGAGGCAGGTAGAGGAATTACGCTGCCTGCTGGATGTACATTTTTCTCTTGCTCAAGTGGCTTGGTGGTTTTTTTTTTGTTTTGTGTTTTTTTTTTTTTGGTGAAGATCTAAGATTAATTTGACCTGGGTGAATCAGTAGCAAAATGAAATGGATTTTTAACAAATTCCTACTTTGTTATTCCTAGGGAACTTGATCGTTTCTACTTTCATTTTTGTGTACTCTTCTCTACTTTTGTGTGTAAGCACATGCAGAATTTCCAGGCTTTCAATTATTCAGATAGTTAGATTGGTGGGCAGTTCAGTATGACTATGAGATCTTGTAATATTGCTCCTTTATAATGGCTATATTATTTATTATGAAACTCCATAACTAGCAGACATTAGAATAGATCAGTGCAGGATGACCCTGATTTGCTTGTGTACATCTGCATACATCCTGATGGCTAGGGCTGAAGACCACCCCTTATTATTGTCACTTCATTGCTCTTTATATGTGTGGCACTGTCACGCAGTAGGACAGAGCAGGTATTACACTAAATGATGTCCTTAATACAAATCAGAAGCCAAGAAAAAAGTTTACTTACCTACACCAGCTGTAATGTTGCACAGCCGGTTTTCTAAAAAAAAGGAAAAAAAAGTGATTTTAAATTACCTGAATTTCGTATCTGAAAAATACGAATAAAAAGGGGTTCTTTGTAACATTGTCTTTTGTTTTGCTTCCAGATAAGATGTTGTAGTAATTGCAGGGACAGTGAAAGTGAATGCCCTGTACATCCAAAACCAGATGAGCAAAAGAAAAAGTACATTCTGAGAACAAACCAAGAGAGTGTTTCACTCATGTAGGAGCAAGATATTAGCGCATATGGATTAGATGATTGCTGTAAACAGATCTGTGGTTCAGGTTAATCGTGGAAGCAGCTCCATCTCTTCTCTGTTACGCGGCTGAGAGCTGTGGCCCTCTCGTCTCCCAACACTGCCATCTGCCAGCAATTGCACCACACAGCAGCTTTTTCTTTTTTGCCTACTATTGTCGACAAGCTATAACTTTTTATTATAGATGACTTAAAATTAATGGCCCTTAGTCTCCTCTCGCTCATTAGAGTGTGAATGAGGGCACCCATGTGAATGAGAGGAGACTCTGACTTGATGGATTTTATTCCTCAGACATCACCTCAGAGTTTTTAAGCCTTTTAGTTGTCAATCAAAAAAAGCCTGGGAGAAAATCTGCTGTAAAGCAAGAACAACAGCAGGAAGAATAGAGCGATATGAAAACTCACTTGGTAGAGTCTCGGTAGGCAAAGTGATGATCTTACAGGATGCGTGCAAGTGGAAATGTGCCTTTTAGTAAAAATACAACCCTCTGCCTTTCTGCGCTTGGTAAAGGCAGCTGCTTTTGAGTCGGATCGTGGCTGGAAGGAAAAATCTCATGTCAGAGTATGCATGCCTTTTTGGGGGGTGGTGTTAAGAATTTCCGAGTATGCGGAGTGGCTGTCCATAGTGTGCAAAGGGCCTATCCTCATCTGCAATCAGCAATCTTCCATTTTATAAGATGTTTATAGCCTCTACTCCTTATTTGCTGCAGTCCTCAGCTGCTATAATAGCGGGGCAAAATGCAGGTTTTAGTTTGTCTCACGATTTTAAAACAAAGAAGGACTTCATGTGTGGCACTATGTGATTTCACTAGCTCTTACCCTTTATCAGACCCTCCAGATGTCCAAGGGTAAAACTAACACAAACGCGTATAACTCACACAAAATAACTTTTATTGTCCCTGGAAGAGGAGCTATTTACAGTAGCTAAGTAACAAAAAAGAATACAAGCATATGCCAGGTAATTTCGTTTGTTTGGCCTATGGCCTATTTAATGATACCTGCTAGGACTTCTGTAGTAAAGACTGCATCAGCATTTCTCTTGTAATTTACATTTTTCTGGTTTTAGCATGTTTGATAGAAAACTACAGCGGTCCATTTTCTCCATATTGGAGTGATATTTTTTCCTGCTCTGTGCCAGATTCAAGTAATTTTTTTTTAGTTTGAGGTACTGGTGTTTTTATATCCAGTTGAGCTTGTGCTTTTTGTTGGTTTGGTTTGCATGTGTACGAATACAGATGAATGATGATGATTTTGAAGACTTTTGCAGTTAGAAACTCCCTTTTGAAAGACTATAACTTTCTGGGTTCTTAGAAAATAGAATTTAAACAACAGAGTTATGAAAGTGGACGATGCCAGGACATTCTATGTTAATAAACCCTTTAAATGTTATTCATTATCTTTATCTTGCCACAAATAAATTAAATGCTTTGCATGTTCCATGAGTTTATGGAAAACTTTCAAAATGATGTGTTGTTTGATAAAATTTATAAACATTTATTCAAGTAAGTTTCACTGTAACTTTTAGGTATTTTCTTGTACTTTCTTTTTATTTAACGACTTTGACCATATGTCATTTTTAATCCTGTCACAATTTAAAAACCTGTTAGTGTGGTCTCTAGACCTCATTTACATCAGTTTAGTGTCCTGATTATTTTGCAGTAGGGTAGCTTTGTCAGGAACACCTCTTGGATATATTTATGCTGCTCCCAAGGTTTATTAATTTTATCTCATGGAGGAAAAGTGGCTGTCCAAGAAATACTGTTTGTTCGTCCTGGCAGATACTCTTAACTTTAAAACATGAGTAAGCACAGAAATGAATGAGTTATTCAGAAGAACCGGTTATTCAGAAGAATATGTACCTATATTTGAAAGGCTGTAGCCCAGATCAGTACAACAGAAAGATGAAGACCTGGTCAGCCACCAAATGATGAACTGTAGAATAACTCACAGCTGCTCTCCTGCATGGAAGTGTGATGTCTGCAACACGATTTTATGAATTGTTATCAGACTTGCCAACTGGTGTGTTGATGCACTGGCAGTAAAACACCTCCCCAGTTTACTGGTCACTAGCAAGAACTTGCAGAGTCGGAGCTTATTGGATCCACATCTCCGATGATAGCAAATATGTGTGGCCTTCTTTCTGATTTTTATATAAATAAGTTATTGGATGAAGAATTCTGCTTCTCTCTAGTAAAATGTGAGTAACTATAGAAATGTGTAAGCTGAATCTGTTGAGCAAACCACTGTCATTGCATATTCATTGCCTTGTAAATGCATAGTCATTCAGCAGAACAGAATTTCAGGAAACAGTCCGCTGTGCCAATTTCCCTAGTCTTCAGTACAGTGTTTTTCAGAGATATGTTTCCTTCTTTATTTTGGAAAGTCTCATACACACAAAGAAACTGCATCAAAATAATGCATAATGCATAGCAATATAAAAAAAAATAAAAGCGGGGATATTCACAACGTCAACGCACACACCTTCCTACGTAGCATGTATTCTTGCATGTTAAGTGACCCTTCGTACACCTATGCACAAGAATTAGAACGGTGCATTTCCTGAACAAAAGAAAATACAAACGAATTGTAATGATTGAGTGTGTTACTTTAAGTCCTGGCAGAATTCTTAAGATCATAAAGAATGAGATTTCTAGCTATTTAGCTTGCCAGCAAAACAGATTATCATGAAGAAAGATGTGAATGTAATCACTGTCTTCTTCACTCTTATTATTGTTAACTGTAAATCTTTTTTCATTTTAGTTGGGTGCTAACTTGAACCTTTATTAGGACCTGCTAGTTGTTGACACTGTTAACGCTTTACAGCTAGCTGATCACAGGGAAAGCATCACTGGGGAAGCAGTCAAATTAAGTAGAGACTAGGTATTGGTGAACAGTCACAGTTCTGTCAGTCAGAATGAACCTAGTCTGATCAATAAACAAATCTAATGAATATATCCTTTCAGTACCAAGTGATACCCTGTAGTGCTTATACAAATGAGGTAAGATTTTGGTCTTTGTATCATTTGTTATATGCCAGCAGTTAAGTCAGAAGTCTCTGTGCATACCCAACAGCAGAACACAGTCTTCCGTGTGACCCTCTGATTCTGCTAAGAGCTATCACAGCTTTGAATGTTGCTTGGAAAAACGAGTGCTCCTTCACACAAGGATGCGTTAGGGATACTTAATGTGGCATCACTGCCAAAAGGGATGAAGACCTCTGATGAGATAAACTTAGGAAATAAGGTAAGGGAGAGGTGTAAAAAAAAAAACCCAACCAAATTAAAAAAAAACCCATACCCATACCCATACCCATACCCATACCCATACCCATACCCATACCCATAGTACTGAGGGGGTGAAGCTAAGGCAGGGGAATTAGGATGGCGTATTTCCTTCCCATGCTGGGTTTCACTTCACGAGAGATTTAAATTAATGTAAAGTGACCCTTCTCCCTGGCATGTCACCATTATCAATATCGGTGAGGAAGCAGGAAGAAACCGAGGTTGCTGCTAACAACAACTGTTTCCCCTTTTTCCAGATGAGAGGGGAGATAGGGAAGCAGGGCAGCAGGAGACTGCACGGCCTCAGCAGGCTGCTTTACTGGGCAGCTAGCAGGCTGAGACGCATGGCAGAGACGTGTTATGAGTGCCATTTCGGCAGGTGTTTCGAGCAACGAAGACGGACAAGTTCCTCTCCGAAGCCCTTGTGCAGCCGTGCGTAAGGCACAGACCCGGGGGGCTCACCCTGCCGAGCACTCGTGCAACGATTTCTTCTCACAGACGTTGTTTCAGAGGTAAGTTTCAGGCCCAGTCAGCGCGCTGAAGGTGTTTTAGCTGTGCTCACGCGTCTTTCCACGGGCAAGGTAAAACAAATCTGTGTGTATTGCTCGATAACTGCCCTGCCTTCGGTATGATTTCATTACATGTTCTTGTTAACTGAATGAGTTAAGGCAGGAGTTGAATGTGATGTTCAGTTGCTGTCACCTCTTGTCTTCATTTTATGAGAGAGATGATTTTTTTTTTTGCATTTTCAGAGTATTTTAGCCCTCTGCTGCTATTTGGATGCCAGAATTATTAGTTGACGCCCTCAGTGCTTTGCGAATTGTATTTGTTTCTCACACCAAATGACATTAATATTTAATGAATTTAGCCCATCATGAGGAGAAGACTTGATGCACGCAAAGATAATAAGTACTCTCCTGTGGTAGTTGTCACTTGAGAAATTATTAGGGTAGCTTTTTTTTTTTTTGTTCGTTTCCTCCTAAGGCTGTTGCTTTAGAAGCACTGTGACTGCGCTGGAATGAGAAAAGGGAAACGTAGCCACCAACTACAGATAGAGACGAAAGAAAAAGCCAGTTTGCCAAAAGATTCAGTACATCTTTCCAATGGAAAAAACATTCAGACCAGTGGAGATCTCTTCTAAGGTAGTGTGTAATATGTAACCCTGTGTATCTCTACACGGTCATCTATGGTGAAAAGACAGGCAATGATGAAGATGTTCCACAGAGAAACAGTACTCAGGTTACAGACCTTATATTCATGTACTGAGTTTGTTATGTGCTCTACATGATGTGGAGCAAATTTTGTACCCTAATTACATTTTTATGCAGTATAAAATCCCTTTTTCTTTGTGTTTCCATTAATAGCATCTAAATTATCATATCTGACTATGCAGCTTCAAGCTGTACAAATTGAGATTGGGTGATATGAAAAAAGTAGGCTTTCTTTTTTCCTGTAGTGGGATTTTGCTGGTGATTTCTACAAGTTTACCAAGATCAGTTTTCTGTAGTCCCTACCACAGGAAATTTTAGCCATTTTAGGACTTTTGCTTCCCACTGTAAGGGTAGGTCACAAATTGCGTTGGAAATGAGGTATGCATTATCGTACATTCAAGCTTTCAGAGTTCTTCTTGGCTTTTGTTTTTTGTTCTTAAAATGAACTTGCAAATCAAATTGCCTTGCGTCTTACTGGGAAGTAAAACGTATTTAAAGAGAAAGTAGTGCTGTACATACCTCCTTGTGTCATGCACCTGATTTGCCACTGCTTTAAGCCTTTTTGATATAGTAACTCAGATCCTCCCTCCCCCCCCCGAAGAAAATAAAAACGTGCATAAATCTGAAGACATTTTTCAGCTTGTCATCAGACTAGTTTATTTCTGAGTGTTCATCTTCCCAAATGAAACATCACAGTCGAAGGAAAGTGATCTGTAAAACAGACTTGAAAAGATCTTTCAGAGAAAAATCTCCCGCCATAGACCAAAAAAGTCATACCGTCCAGATGATACATGCGTGTGTGTGTATGCAAAAGCGAGGTGTATGCCTGTCTGTATCTAATATTGCCTGTGTTTATATCCAGAATAGCCAAACGTGGACCTGCACATGGAAAGCCTTACAGCGGAAATGGAAAGACTAAAACCTACCAGGGAGCGACGGAGCGTCGGACGCGGCGCGGCAGGTCCGATTTAGGGAAGGGGAGCGCAGCCCCAGAAGCCCCCAGCCCCCTCACCCATAAACCCATTGACGGG